GACACTTCCAAGAAATTCTGTGAATTAAAGTCTGATGGCAAAACAGCCACTAAAAGGAGAACAGATAAATCAGTCGTGATAAATTTGAAGGTGGTTGAATACTATACAGCAGTGAAAAGGGATTAAATGCACAAAGAAAAGAATGGGTCTTTAAACATAATGTGGTATAAGGCAAAATTCAGAAGACTCCATATAGGTTCATACAGTTTTTATAAGACTCAAGACCAAGCACAAGGAAATATTGTTCAGGCTTACAAAATATAGGTGCTAACCTTGTGTCTGTGAATAGCCTAGGGATTAGTTGCATTCCTTATTTAAAATGGGTATATTTCATTGCATGTAAATTATATTCAAAGCTGAATGAAAGAGTGAGGTGGGCAGACTCTGTCTTGCCTCTGGATATGCTGTGTAAGGAGGTGATGCTGGGGCAGATGTCACCCTCTGGTGACGCAGCTGCCAGGGGAGGGTGGCTGGACAGGACGAAGGCCCTGTGTTTTGATCACGTCATGTCACCTCAGGGGTCTTGCTGTCTTCACTCAAGCGCCAACAACTCTGTGTGGCAGTCAGCTAGCACCTAACAATTTGGAGGACTTGAGCAGACACTGGTTGCTGGTCTTTCCCTTCCCCTCAGAGTGGTGCTGCTGGCCCAGGGGGCCCCATTTGAGAACCACAGTCCAGTGTTCCCATCCCTGGCAGCTGGGCTGTGCCATCACCTCAGGTGCTCTGCACTCGCTCTTCACGCTGACTCAGCCTCTCTTCTCCCCTCCCTCTGGCACCAGTTTTGATCGTTGGCTTCTCTGTGCTCGTAACTGGAGCCCTGAACCCAGCTTTCCGAGGAGAGTAGCCACCACCTGTTCATGGCACCTGATTGATGGTTCCTTCAACCACAACCGCTCCTTTTTGGGCAACCTGCAGAACCCTTTCCAGCTTTCTTATGTAAGCAGACACCTTTCCTCCAAGTCACCAGAGGCCACGCCCGCCACGGCGCTGCTGACCCTGGCCGGCCTCTCCACCCCAGCACACGCACTCCCTGGGCCGGGCACAGGCATGTCTTTGCTTGGCTGGTACAAGTGGTTTTAAGCGCAGGACCAATGAGACCCCTCCAGCGGACATGACCTGCTAGCTAGAGCCCGGAGGCCTGAGTGCCGGGGGGGAGGGGGGGGGGTATTAGGGAGAGAGACCGTAAACATGGCGAGTCTTCTGAGGCTGAGGTAGAAATCCTGTCGTCTACTGTGAATTCGTGTCTCAACACATTGCAGGTTCACTTTGCGAATGTTTGACTTGGAACTTTGCTTCTGTGACCATGAAAACCACTGGTCTGGTTTTTGGTTTTCTTCTGCTTTTATTTTTCTAGGCTTGTATGGAAATTATACCATGTAAAATGATCTGGGTAGTGTCCCTTTTTGTTCTCTGATAAATGGTTCCTTGAGCCAAACTCTCCTCTCTGGGCCACCTGTAGAACCATTTCCAGCTTGCCTGCTTTTTTTTTTTTTTTTTTAAGATTTACTTATCTATACATATAAGAGCTGGGGTGCCAGACAGAGTATGGGGGATGAGAGGAATCACTGGGCACAGTGGGGAGCAGAACAGACTGATCTACTGAAATCCACTGCTGAGGGGAGCAGTGGGGAGACAGGAGAGATGTGCTACGTTCTGTGGGTCACCTCCCTGGCCGGGGATCGAACTTGTGCTGCAGTGGTCTGGGACAGCTCACAGTGCTGTGGCTTAACTTGCTGGGCCACCAGGGAGGGCCCCTCACCTCTTCCCCCCCTTTTCCAGCCTTCTTACATAAACAGACACCTTTTCTCCAAATCACTAGAGGCTGTGCGCCAGTGTAAAAATTCTAGGAATTCTTTCTTTGAATGCATAGTAAAATGCACTATAAAATTATTACAAATGCCAATTCTTAATTGCTTTGTAACTTCTTCCTTGCTTTATCAGTCTATTCAGAGTTTATTACTTATTGGTATTCCAATTTTTGTCATTAATACTTCTGCGGAGAGTTCTTTTCATCTAAATTAAGTTGTTGGTATAAGATAACATAAAATATTCCCTACCCAGGCTGGGCCATCAAGACATCCAGCCCTAACTTCTGAGCCGACATCAAGGGAATAGCCTCTGAGACGTTGCTGGAAATACAGAAGGAAACTTGGGCAGAACATCGTCATGGAGAGCAGAGCGGGTGGCCGGCCTGGCAGCCCGCGTCCACTCCACTCGTGCCAACGGACCAGTCTGCGGACCTGGGGAGCCGCAGTCCCCACAGCCCGGGAGCGGGCGCAGCACGATCTCGCAAGTGGTGCGCGGGTGGCGCCCCCTAGCGCTGGAACTTGGTGGCGACCTTGAACTCAGACGTGGTGGCCCCCGCCCGGCGCATAGATCTTGGCTACATCCGCTGCCCCTAACTCACCGGCTATTGCTCGGGTCCGAGGCTTCACCCTCCCGGTCAGGTTCCACCGGCCCGACCCCTGCGTGGTTACGGGATGATGCACAGCTCATCACATCCTACAAGGACGGCCCCTCCGCCCATGTAGGCAGTTGTCTTAATAACAACATGAAGTTACCCACACGCGCTCGCGACCCCCAGTTTTTAATGCCTAATTGTTCGTAAACGTCTCCACAGCAGATAATAAGGTAAACGCCCATGAATCCACCCCTCGGTTTAAGAAATACTGTTACATTTCCGTGATCGTGCTCAGCATAGGCAGTATCACGTTGCAGTTGCATAAAATCAAGCCGCCGCTAGGGGTCGCGCCTGAGACCAGGCTGCGGGGGGGTTCGTGCTGGAGAACCCCGGGTCGCTTAGAGGCAGGGACTGGCCGGGTCAGGGAAACAGAGCTCCCCACAGGCGCACTTGGCTCCAGGCAGCCAGGTGAGGCTTTAGCATTTCCCACTATAACGGCCTGGAGTCAGACGTTCAGAGAGCTCGCAGTCTCATACATCCTGCGTGCCTAAGCATTTCTTCTAATCAGCAGCTTACTATTTTTTTAAGATTTATTTATGCGGGCCCTCCCTGGTGCTGCAATGGGTTAGGATGCAGCACTGCAGGCTAGCTGCAGCCACCTCAGTATGAGTTCAATCCCCAGCCAGGGAGATGACCCACATGGCGCGGCAGACCTCTTCTGGACTTGGTTGACAGGTTGTTTGCAGCACGGGTAGCAAAGTGTCCCCAGCTGTGCAGAAAAACACTGCAGCGGGGAGACACCCGTCATAACACAAGCCATCTTAACCCTCCAGCTCCTGCACACCTTAGCCTGAGGTGTATGTCCTCACATGTGCTGGAGTCAGGCGGGGTGTTCTGATGCGCCAGCTGCCAGAGCCCCCGTATCAAGGAGTCCTGGAAACTGCTCCTGTCCTACCCCTGGTCATTCTACACACTCCTGTGTTTCCCTGGCAGGTGGTCAGGCCAAGAGACTGACCCTATAATCCACTCTTCTGGATTCGTCTTAACTGACCACGCTGGGATCAAGGCAGGTCAGGATTCAGCTTGTAAGATGACTCCACACTAGGTTGCCCTAGAGCAGCAAACTTACTTCGGCCTCTTAAGGTTGGGGGGGCCTTTAGGGGGCTGTTTGTGCCCACCTGAGCTTTGGTAGTACTGCATGTAAGCCTCTGAACCCCATCATTGTCCTTTGCATTGTGTCGTTCCTTAATAACCCCAACCATCCACACACAGGGTTCCTGTGACCATGTGGGGCTGGGTGGGAAGCAGGGGTGAAGTGGGGGAGCGGGAGGGGGTGAGGCTGGGGTGGTGGCATCAGCTGCTGCTCCATCAGAACCATGAGGCTCCTTGGCAGCAAAGGCTGGGGGGTTCTTGGCCCTCTTCTGCCTGGGGCAGGAGGGACCTCACAATGGACGCCGTCTCCTGGCACCGTCTCCTCAACACGTCTGTCACAGCTGCCAGTCCGGGCCTGGGCTCGGGGTGCCGCTCCTGACTGGGCTGAGCCTCTAGGCGGTTGCCCCAGTGGCCCCGGGAGGTCCCCGGGAGTGTCCCCGGGAGTGTCCCTGCGGGGACCAGCAGCTGGCATCTCAGATATCTGTCTCCTGGATGCATTTTGTTTGCAATTTTTGTTTTTAGTTTGTTATTTTCCAGGGGGAGATTTTCTTTGTGTTTTGTACTTTTTTTATTATCTGCAGTTACACAGGGCACGATCACTCCTCCAGCAACAGGCCAGTGGCCCCCCAGCGCCCGAAGGGCAGACCCCACAGTCAAGTGGTCACTGTGCAGGAACCCCTGTGCCCTCCCTGCTCGCGGTCACCACCAGGCCCCTTCCCTGACCTTGTCCTGGCGGCGTGGACCCCCAGGGTTAGCGGGTCAAGGAAGGAGCTGGGGGAAACTCGGCCTCCAGGAGCCACCAGGCGAACCATCGTGGGGGGTGGCGTGAACCCCGAGCTGCAGGGGCTTCCCCGCCAGGAGTCTCCCGGTGGCGACGCCCGAGCGGGCTTGGCTGCCCTGGGCCTCCGCACCTGGGCAGCTCCCCGCCCTCAGAAGGCCGCGCCGCCCTCCGCCCCCCGAGAGTCACGAGAGTCACGAGCTCTGGCTGCGCCGCGCCGCCGCCCCTCAGGCGCCTGGAGGCCCCGCGCCTGCCTGCTGCGAGCCGCCAGCCACTGGGGCCCCCCGAACGACGACTGGGGTGTCTCTCCCAGCTCTGCTGCTCTCAGGCCCCGAGCAACTTCGCTTTTTTTTTTTCCTGTGGTTTTGGTTTCCCTTTGGATTTTGTTTTTTTTCAGGAGCCGAAGATGGCCTCAGGGAAACCGCTGAATTATTCAAGGTGTTTTCTGAACAAGGACCAGCCAAGTCCCGAGTAAAACTATCTAGAGATTGGAATTTCTCCGGATACATCCTGTTACCGACCTGGATACCGCACTTGGTGGCCGAGGCCCTGGGGGGGGGGGGCAGCATGAGGAAACGGGGTGTCCTTTGGCCCGCAGTGGGTATATGCGACGACTTGTGCTGCTTGTGCTGCGTCAGCCCTTGAGGGGTGTCGAAGTCTCCTACGTGGTCAAGGGGTGTCTCCCGGAGATGGGGGTGTCAGCTCCAGCGGGAACTTCAGGGACCGGCCTTCTCCCGCGTCAGAGCCTTCTGGAAGAAGATACTGGTCGAAGCAGCTGGAGTCGTCATTCCCAGGTAAAATGTAAAGTTCCATGAACTCACTTATGGTACCCTGGCAGGAGGCCCAGGGGAGGTCTGAGACCTGCAGGCATATATCTTGGATGTCTGGAGGCTGAGCGTCCCCCAGGGTGTTCGGCTGAGAGGCACCGGCCCCCTCAGGGTGTTCAGGCCTGGAACCTCCCAATGCCCCAGGGACAGTGTCTGCAGGAGCTGTAGGTGAGGGGGTGACCGCCCCCCCAACTGCGCTGGGGTGGTGGGGTATTTCTGGCGACTCGCTGGTCAGATTTTGGGGGTGATTTTTCTTGGCTTTTGCGCGCTGATTCTTGAACCAAGTCTGGGGAGAGACAGGTCAGTGAAGGGGGTGAGTTCCAAGTCATCTGCCACTTCCCTTAATCATTGTGCTTTTGCACTGTGTGAGAAAGTGGGTCTCACATCTCTCCCACTGTCTGAACAAGAAAAGCTCTCTGGCCGCTGCTCTGCTGGTTGCAAAGCAGGTGTAGAATGGGGCTAACGCAGGGAAGACAGCTGAACACTCACACCCCAGAGAGGGGTGAGTAGAAGCCGGCTCAGTGTTGCTGGAGGTGTGGTTTTCAAGAGGGCGAATGGTGGAGACTTTACTGTGGTCTAAAATATAAATGGGCCCTCCCTGGTGGCGCAACCGGTTAAAGCACAGCCCTGGGAAACTAGCCCCAGCAGAGACCTCTCCTGTCTCCCCGCTGCTCCCCTCAGCAGTGGATTTCAGTCAGTCTGCCTGTTCTGCTCCCCACTCTGTCTTTGGTGAAGCCT